TGTGGCTTAGCAGTAGGGCGCTTGCCTAACACATGAGAGGCCCTGGGTTTGATCCTCAGCACCACGTAAAAATAAACAAACAAAATAAAGGTATTGTGTACAACTGAAAAATAAATATTTAAAAAAATATCAAAAGAGTCCATATTATGTGTTAGAGCCAATAAATTAGATGCCATTATTTATTATCTTCATTTTACAGGTGAGGAAATTGAGGCTCAGAGAGGTTAACTCACTTGCCCAAGGACACATCCCTATTGGGTTAAAGAGCCAGGCTTTGAAACAAATTCTGTCTGGACCCAATAGCTGATCTAAATTATTACTCAATGTGAGGGGCCAATGCCTTTAACACACTTCCCTATTTTCACAAGGAAGGATCCTGCCTAAATACTATCAAATTCTTAGAATACTCACGTCTCTGTATGATCTGGTGACATTTGCTGAACTATGAGACTCTAATGAATGTTATCTGATCTATTAGATGGCTTGAGCATGATAGACTGAGGTCTCTTTCCTTCTTCACTCGAACTACTGGTAGACAGTGATCTGCATCCAATAATTTCAATTTTGCTTCAATGTGCAAATCCAGGGTTGGTTTCTGCAAATTAATTGGGCTCTCAAACTAAGACAAATCCTCAACCTAACTACTATTGAGCAATCAGAATAATATTTTCACTTTCTATTCTTCCACCTCCTTTTCTTTATTTTATGTTGACTCAGAAATCAAGCTAGGAGATGCACATTGTTTTGTAGTCTATTGCTATATAAAGAAAAACATTCCAGAATTAGATAGCTTAAAATAAAATCGATCATGTTTTATTTAACAAATTTACAATTTGGGGAGAATTCAGCAGGGTGGGCTCATCACAACTCCTTGAAGCATCAGCAGCCCAGTTGGTCTGCAGGGTACATTTCTAGGATGGCTCACTTTTCATGGCTGTCAAATTGGTGGGAACTGTCAGCTGGGAGTTCATCTGAGGCTGTTGGCCAGGGGCCACTCCTTGAGGCTGGTTGGGCTTCCTTGCAACATGATGGCTATGTTTCAAGAGCAAGTGTTCCAAGAGACCCAGATGGAAGCTACAAGAATTCTTTAAACCAGTCTTAGGAGTCCCAAAATATTCCTCTGTTGCATTCTATGACCATGCAAATTTCTAAATGAACTCAGATCCAAGGAGAGAAGAATTGCTATCTTTCAATAGTAGGAGAAGCAAAATATTTGCAGTCATGGTTAATCTGCTATACGTGCTATTGAATGAATTTCTTCTAATGGTTCAATGATCTTAAAGGCAAAACTACAAAGAGTAGAAACTTAAATCATGCAAGAAAGTGGAAATTATACTCCATTTTC